GGCACCTCCGAATGGAGGCCCCCCGGCTGGTGCTGCCGGCCGCCCCGGAGAGGAACGTGCCCATCCAGGTCAGCCCTGCAGCCCCGCAGCCCGGAGCAGCCTCCGAGGACGGAGTCAACAACAAAGCCCAGGCGTGACGGGAGGGGAACCGATGGCCCGCGGCAGGACCGGAGCAGACAGCAGCAAGTCTCGGGTTTTAGCCCAGACAAGCTCCATCAGCAATGATGTCATTTTTTTCACTGTACTGGAATGTTTTTGTATCCAATAAAAATACCTTTGCATAGAACCTGCTTGTGCTCTCTTGTGTTGATTGACGGGGAGGCAGGGCCCTGGGCTCAGCTCTTGATGCCGGAGGAGCGGGATGCGCAGAGAGGGAAGAACCTCTCCCAGTGCCCGAGGGCAGCGCACAATGGGGTCAACACTGGACGCGGAGGGAGGGAAGGGATCTGCAAGCACGGTGCTGCAGGGAGGGACAGCCCCCTCACCCGTACCGCAGCAGGGGCAGCTCTCCCAGGAGCAGGCAGGCTGCCCTCACCCCCTCCTCACGCTGCTGCCAGCACCCGCACCAGCGCCACAGCCCCTCATGCCCTGGCTGATGGGGAGATGACCGTGCCGGAGGGCCTGGCTGGGTGCAGGGTGCCCCTGGTGTAGCCACACTTTTTCCCCCCAGGCAGCTTGGAAAGGGGCTGCTGGACCCCCCTCCGAGATCCCAGCAGCAGGGAGGGCGAAGCCCAGCCCCAGGCCCTGCGTGCAGCCTCCACAAACACCCACGCTCAGGCCCGGGCGGGCGGCAGGCACGCGGGCAGGCACGCCTGGTGATGCTGAAGCTGCTCCAAGCTCGGACAGCCCTTCCCCACAGCAGCACGGTGCCGGAGCGGCTCTGCAGCCCCAACACCCAGTCCTGCACAGCTGAACGGCAGACACCCAGGCAGCAGCAAGACATCGCTCCGGGCATCGCAGGCTCCTCCACAGAGATGGAGACCCCTGGAAGGAGCCAGAAACAGCCATCAGCCAGGAGCCGAGCACCAGGGCCAGCAGATGGCAACAGCACCTCGCTCTCTGCTCACAGGACTGTTGGGAGTTGGGGCTGGGGAGCCCCTTCTCCAGCATGTCCCCCTCTTGCTGCCTGGGGAGCATGCAGCATCCGTCCAACCGCGCTGCAGGCAAGAAGACCTCAGATGTCCCACCAGGGTCCTGAGCTCCACCAGCAGCTGAGCAGCCAGGCTCCGGGCAGGGGAGGGAAACAAGCAGCAGCCACAGCACCAGGCAAGCAGAGGCCACCTGGGGGTGCTGGAGCCTTGCACCCCGCAGGTAGCCCCTGCTCCAGCCAGGAACTCCGTCCATCAGCCCCTCCAGACCCTCCTGCTGCCAGGATTTTAAGGAAATCCAATATGAGCGACAGGCACCGGTCCTTGGATGGAGGACGAGGCCCACGCGAGCTGAGGCTGCTCCCAGACCCGTTCACTGCAGGCACCCAGCAGAGCTGCTGGAGTCCCAGCGCCACACGCCGAGGGCACGAGCAGCCCAGGGCCGTCACACAGAGCCTCAGCAGCAGCCACGCAGCTGGGGAGAGGCAGCGGGGTCGGGCACCAGCACGTCACCATCTTCCAGCTCTCCCAAGGCCGCAGGGTGCCGGCCCAGCAGCACACGTAGCAGAGCTGCAAGGGGATGCTCCGTTTCCCATACTGACTCCAGAGCTCACCCGGGGCTGCGAGGGTCTCAGGCCACGCAGCAGTGACAGCAGAGCAGCACCTTTCACGGTCATCACCATGCAGGGAGAGAGCCATTTTGCTCATTAAAGCTTGAGCACAGCATTCCCAAGCCCATCCCGCTGTCCAGCTGAGCTCCCCTGCACAATGCTCCCCCCCTTCCCAACTTAAGCTGTAGGTAGTTTCCCAAGAAGATCAGGCAATTAAAAATTCCCACTATTTACCTCAAACTTCCTCGCATGCCACTGCACACCGCAAGCTCACCGACCCACCTGCAGCCTCCATGCCAGGAGCTCCCACCTCAGGGGTGCCGACGGTGGCTGGCCCAGCCCGGACTGCGCAGAGCTCGGGGCCCGCACCGCTCGCTGCCCGGGGAGGCAGGGCCCGCGTCCCCGCCGAGGAGCCGGGCGCTGCCCCCACCCCCGCAGCCTCCAGCACAGCTGCTGTGCTCTGCTCCACTCCCCTTCTGGGCTGAGCTGATTAAGAAACATGAACATAGTTGATTATGATAGGTTTATAAAAATTTTTTTTAATCACACAAAAGTGAAGTTTGTGATGAAGACTAGGTTGACAGGTCCTCTTAAATACCAGTATGCATAAGATATGGCATTAGGCACTAGGCAGCAGCCAACATCAGTTAGAGTCTGGCAACAGAAGCCATTTTAATACCTCCCTTCATACTTTGTGGAATTACAGGCTTTTGCAATACATATTGTTTCCACCCACAAGGTATCTGAGGTTTCCCCCACCCCACCTCTGTACATCAGTAAACCAAGTGTATTCACACTAGAGTAGGGTTAACAACATTAGTGGCATCACAACCATCAGAAAAGGACAATTTTCTATACAAGATTTCTGCAAAAGTTGCAACAGGATTAGTGCATTACGACAGATCTGGAGATAGGAAAAAGAGTTGGCATGCTAGAGTCCAACACAAATAAAGACAACAGGCAGCTAGTTGTATGTACTATATTGACAAGATACTGATTGGTTACATGGAGAAACGTACAATACAAAATACAGAAGAAACCAGGTTTGCTTCCCTCTGCCCCACCCCAGAATACTCATAATTGATTTGGTCAACAAGTGGCTGAAGAGCCAGAGTTTGTCCCTATAATGCTACAGTTTAGTGGTTGTTCTCGGCATATCGTACTGGGATCAGCCTTAGCTTTCACACACGGGTCATTTTAAACAGTTTTCTCGTCTCGATATCCCTTTATCTCCAAGAGTGAGCGACAGTACTGTGGGACCCGGGTGCTGCTGGCCCTTGCCCGCAGGAGGGGCGAGCAGCTGGGCAGACACCGGGTCATGCCTCCACCACCACCAGGAAGAGGGAAGAGCAGAAGTTCATATATTAAAAAAGTGACTTAAGACTTAGAATTGAATTAGTATTTGTACAGAAAGGTGCAGGTGGAAGAACTCCCTCCAGCCTATGATCAGAAAGGGATGGAGAAATCACAGCAGCCGCCGGCAGCGGCCGCTCTACGGTAAGTGCGATTGTTAGCGTGGGTTCCAGTCACGTCGGTCAAGGCCTCCGTCAGGCGGGAAGGGCTGCTCAGTTGCTGCAGCACTGGCTCCTGCTCGGCTGACTGCTCTCCTGAAGGTCAACCACCCGATTCCTGCCTGGGCCGCCCGGCACGTTCTGGGGTTCATTTTTTGGCAGTTTCTTGGCTGGAAAGAAACAAGACGTCAGCAGGCTGTGCTCCAGAGACCAACCTCCTCCCCAGCGCAGAGCGCAGCCTGGGCTCAGCCCCGCTCCGGCCCAAGCCCTCACCTCTGCAGGACTTTGGGACTGGGCACTGCACGAGTGCAGCCAGCAAACTCCCAGCTCTGGCTGTCACCAGCCCTGCTCCCTCCGTACTCACCGCCCCAGGTAAAGGGAGAGAGGGAACAGGCTCTGAACACCCAGAGAGCGACCGTTCAAAGGCACAGCAAGCTGCCCATCTACTCCAGCCAGAGCCTCCAGTGCCCAGCTGACCCAGGAGCTCCCCTGGGCTGCGCTGCTGCTCGGAGCCACTCCAGCCACCCCGCGGCACACAGCCCGTTACCTATCGCCATGAAGATTTCATTCACATTCATCGCTGTCTTTGCTGACGTCTCCATGAACAGCAAGCTGTTGTCATCTGCGTATGTTTGTGCATCCTACAAACAATTGCATCAGAGTGGTAAAGGCATCGTGCCAGAAGGAGGCCCAAGCAGGCTTCACACGCTTCACACGTTGGCAAACTGAACACCAAAGAAACCCTGTCCCACCCCAGGTTGGACATTCCCACCCCGGTCCCCTGACCCTGCCTGGCCAGGACAGCCAGGAGACATGCACCAGGGACAATGCTGCACGGCTGGTGGCCCAGCAGCCGAGCTGGGGTACAGCAGCACAGACTGTTTGCAAGCCAGATGTAGACACAGCATGTCCCCAGCAGCACAACACCTTGTACTTTGGTTAGCTGGGAGGGCAATACACACTGCAAATGCACCACAAGCAATCCTGTGCAGAGGTCTGAGATAAGAACCTCTCCTTGAAAGTCTGCCTCAGACAAGCTACGAGCTGTGAAGAGCAGAGAACAAACTGGGAATGATTCTTCATGTGTCTTGTATCAAGATGCTGCTTCACACACTGCTGAAGACAGCCCCAGAAAAGGCCGAACGCAGCAGCTCCTGCTCCCTGGGCCTCATTCTCCACATTCATTGTAAGTTACCAGCACGAGCTCCAAGTGCTGTGAAAGTGCACAGGAAGGGCAGGCTGCAGCTCCCTTCGAGTGGCATCCTGGCATCCTCAGCAGCAGGAATCTTGACTTCCACTCTCCCCCAAAGCATTCGCACACAGCCACCATCTCCCCCACTTCAGCAAAAAGCTGCTTTCCTGACTTGCTCAGGCAGAACTGGTCTGGATTCCCACTCACCTGGAAGTCCACAGCCCTCTTGGTAGCAAGGTCTGCCTTGTTTCCTGCTAGTGCAATTACAATATTGGGGCTAGCCTGCCTCTGCAACTCTTTCACCCAGTTCTTGGCTCGTACAAATGTGTCCTGGAAGCAAACAGGAGGCAGCAGTCAGGAAGGGCAGCCTGTTATTAATCCACAGTGAAGATATGATCAGAACAAGTCTTTCCTGTAAGAAGCGTTCTGCCTCCACAGCACTTTGCAGCAGGATCCTTTCTCAGCTCAGCCAGCCCCGGCCAGCACCGAGGCAGAGGCCGTTAGCAGTTTGAGGACCTCAGTACCCGCAGGCAGGCGTCTGCAGGGTCTCTGAACCCAGACGCTCGCCCAGAAACCACGAAGCACGAGCTGCCAGCGCAGACACCCCCTCCCCAGCGAGCACTCGCGGCCCTGCCAGTACTCACTGTGTTGGTGATGTCGTAGACCACAATGGCTGCCTGGGCGCCTCGGTAATACATGGGCGCCAGGCTGTGATACCGCTCCTGTCCCGCTGTGTCCCATATTTCAAACTTCACCGTTGTGTCGTCCAGGCAGACTGTCTGTGTTAGGAAGGCAGCTGAAAGAGAAGGTGTGTGTCTGCCTCACCTCCAGCAACACAGCCCCTGCGCCAAGAGCCAGCGGCTTGGAGCAGTTCCGCTTT